ACCAAACGTAGTACCGTGGGTTGTATCGTCTACAATTATATCGTAATTGTTGTTCTAACGATCTGACATTATCGAGTACGTGTCTCTCATTTGAAATACATCAATATCACACGAAGAGTGCCATTTTTTTTTTTTTTAAATCAGCATGATTAAGCGTGACTTACATTTTAGATACAAAATTGCCTGTTTTTGCTCTCTCAAACAAATCTAGTTCCAAACAAAGCCACAGCACTGTTTGCATCTCGGTGCAACACATGGTGGTGTTTCGTTACTGAATGAATCGGTTTTTAAACGGATTGGTTCAATGAATAATTCAATGACTCACTCATTAAAGGGATACTTCAGGATTTAGCATTAAAGCAGCACTCAGTAAGAATTCCGTTTTTGTCAAACAGCGACCCCTAGAGTCGCTGTGGAGTACTTGTACTGTCGTGAATGGCACTCACGCAGAGATGGCTCGCACTCACAGCCGGATCCCCAAAGTTGCAAGGGTGGTTTTGCGGCTCACAGGCACCAGGGGGGTGCGAGACGACCACCATTCAACACGAAATCAGTAATATAAACATTACAATGACTCCAAAGCTGTTCGATTAAGGTAAAAAAGTTACTTAGTTCACCTTTAAGCTTTGTATTAGTAGAAAACCTGTAGCCTAGTATTTTCAAATTACCGTGCTTCCCCCCCTCATATCCCCCTGAGACGAGAGATTTATGTATTTTTTGTCTGGAAAGAATCGTCATTTTGCGTCATCGGAGGACTTTTTGACCAGAGGCTAAAGACTACAGTCAGTAGTAGGGGCTGTCCCGCATGTTTTCAACCCGCCCATAGAGGCTGGGATGTCACTCACAGAATGTACACAGTGTCAGCCATCTTTTTTTGGAAGCTAAGCTAGCAGGCTCTTGTTCTGTGGAGAAAGCTGAGTAGTAGGGGTTACCATCCTCTTTTTCCCGGACATGTCCGGCCGTCGATGTCCGGGATTCAGCTTTTGCTTTCTGCAGTCGCCATTCATTGTTTACATGCACACCTTTTGTTTCAATCTAACTGAAGTCATTCCGATTGGTGAATCTGAATGTAGTGTTTACATGAACGCTAAACAAGTGATCGGTTGATGTGCGTTTTAACATTGCTAAGAAAATTCCCGCTCCTCCGTGAGAGATACGAGAGCGGTGCGTCTCACAGGTGTCGCTCATCGGTAATCACGCCACCGGCCTCGCGCCGTTCTCCCGCGGCCCTCACTCGTCCTGCTCGCCACAGTAAACATGATGAATGGCAACTGTAGAACGCAAAAGCCGAATCCCGGACATTTTGGGCGATCTCGAAACACATTTTCGGGCAGACTCATCACGGAGACTAACTAGTAGCCTAGACTTGCTGTTTAACTACTGCGCTCTGTTACCGGTAGGTGTGGCCTCCTAGGGCAGCGAAGCAAGTGCATTCTGGGAGTTGTTGTCTTTCATCCACATAAGCCAAAAATACATTTTCTGGCTTTTCTCAGTCTAGAAAATTCAAAAATAATTTCACATTTCTTCTACATAAATGACCCATTTTAAATACACATTCATCTTTCCAGAGGTGAAGTATCCCTTTAAGACAGTCAAATGTCAATTTACTCAACAACATTTCGACACCCCAGGTTTCCAGTTGCCCGAAAACAGCGTATAGCAGCCATGGAAGCCTGCAAACAAACTGGGTCAGAGATTGCAGATTTTACAAAACATATAAATGATCGGCATCCATCTAAAAAGAGGCATATAAACGCTCATTAAAACACAGGAAAAAAAACAGAGTAAGGCTTGTGCCTTCCATAGTCGAAGTGCCCTCAATCTGGCAACCTGTGTGAGTGTGGAGTCTGAGGCGGCGGGGCAAACACTTCTCTCCATTATTTTGAATTTGGACTGCAGTACCCATTTCAACCGCTAGCTCTCAATATTCCGTACTGCACCTTTAAGCACAGCGATGTACTTGTGGAAAGGTTATGCAGTAACAATCATTTATGGCATTATTCGGCTCTCAAGATTCACAGATCCCCAGCTGAGCACCGGCCTTGACACGAGTACCAGCATCATTTTCGTAGAAAAGGGGTAACTGTTTTAAATGGGCAGAATTACCAAAGTCAGTCAATTTGCTCAAATGTATCATTTGTTCAAATTAATCACTATCAATTAGTGGGGTAGTTCTGGTTTGGCAACATTATTTCTGTTTTTTGCGGTGTTGCAAGTATTTGATCAAAAATACAGTAAAATCTTAATTTATTCCTGTAATGCAAAGCTTAATTTTCAGCATCATTACTCCAGTCTTCAGTGTCACATGATCCTTCAGAAATCATTCTAATATGCTGATTTGATGCTCAACAAACATTTCTTATTAGCAATGTTGAAAACAGTTGCTTCATATTGTTATTGAAACAAAGCATTTATTTGAAAGAGAAAGTCACTTTTCACTTTTGATCAATTTAATGCATCCTCTGTAAATTCAAGTATTAATTTCTTTAAAAAATAATAATAATGAATCTTACTGACCCAAAACTTTTGATGCATTGATGGAAAGCCTTTATCAGTGTTTCATGTGCTAAAAAGAAAAATGCACACTTATTGGAAGTATTTTATCGAAGAATCTTTCCTGTCTTTCTAAAACCATATTGGATTCTGCCTCATTTAGGGAAAGTTTTAGGAGGAAATATTTGATATTCTTTTCTCATTAAATCCCAGTCATATTTCCAAATAAATAGTGCATCATCAGGCCCATCATAAATAAGGTTTGGTTGTATTACTGTGCACAGTAATACTTCAGAAACAAGGTACATATGAGATTATGAAATATATCAAACTATCACACTGTTTTGAGACAACATACAATGATGTTTGTTTTTTTATGTCGTCTTTTTTTTTTTTTATAAATTCTTCCCGTTTTCCACGCGCATTTGTTCATCATTCAGCCGAGCTTTATTTCAAGCATTTGATTTGAGTGTTTTAATGCCGTTTCTTTCAGTGTTGGGAAGGTCGCTGCTGCTGTCTGTTTATAGCTGGAGAAGCGCTACAGCTAATTAGCCGTCATCTTATTTGCACTGCAGACAGGTTGCTGTGTTATGTGGTTTATATTTGATGTCAAAAAGGCGAAGAATAAAAAATAAAAAAAGACAACTGTATTCTCTGCCTTCGCTGGAAAACTGATTATCAGCGGTACTGATGAATTATGTTGCCATGTATTTTAAATAAACACAACAGACCAAAACCCTTTTGGCTGCTTTTATGTGTCTGTATCTCTAATACCTAATAATTCATGATTAGTTGCGAGGGATAATTTGTCATTTTATTTCGAAGCATTTTTGGATAGAGTTATCCTTTTGCAGGTTGCAGGAGAGAATGAAACAAGTAGAAAATGAAGTGAAAAGAGGATAACTCATAAAACCTGTTCTGGGATACAACACCCTCTAAAGAGCTCCAAACACCCAAACTAATAAATACAACTTAATATAACTAAAACCAACAGACCCAAAAGAGATCAGCTGTAGGAAAAAATATATAACCATAACCACATAGAGCAAAAATATACAGAGACGAGATTTTTTAGAGAGATTTGACCATCTTAGGGTACCTTTGCACGACAATGATGTACTATACGCAAAGTAAAAACTGTTGTGTTTCTCGCATACAGATGACAAAATTATCCTCGTTCACACCAACCCTACTTTGTAAAGAAATACTACGTGACTATAGCCTGGTCCCACCAGATTCTAGTACATTTCATTTGTATAGAGTCTGGCATCGCTCCATTGACAAGCGTTAACTTCCTTGTAGGCGGGTACTTGAAGTCTAAAACTATTGGATCTGCCCAGAGTCACTCTGAATCTTCCATAACCAATCGCTAACGTTTGGTCGTGACGTATGACGACTCAATCTAGCGCACGACATCAACGTCATCGTTCTCAGCCACTCCCTCTGTTCGCTGATTGGGCCGGTAAAAAATTGACCGGAGAAAACCAAAGAATACACCACAATCCCAGACGTAGTACTGAAGGAAAATGAAAATTGAGCGGAAGTACGTAGGAGGGCGGAGCCAGGCTAACGTGACTATAGACTAAACACACATGACCTCAGCGTTTTCACAAATTCACGTTTTTGTGGTTTACACGTAGAAAATAAGTCAAGTCAAGTCATCTTCATTTATATAGCGCTTAATTTATAAAATAACGCTATCGATTTCAAAAACTTGCACTTTGAATACCGTTTTCAAATGTCTGCGGTTTCAGGCCCCCATAACGCCGTTATAGTGTAAATGAATAGCTAAAATGCATAAACAGTTTCCGTTTTTAGTTGAAAATGGTGTGTTGTAAATGGCCCCTTAGAGTTAAACCTACAAATGATGCAGTACAGCAGCTTTAAACCTCCTATACCACAGCAGCTGTGATCAATGACGGCTCGAGCATTCTGATTGGTGCATGAGGAGTGGGTGGAGACTAGAACAATCAGACATTTAGAGTGATGACCTGCCACAACTGTAATTCTATAGTACTTCATTTGCATGATTTTGTTTACATACTATATTGGATTACACTATTTTACAGTGTCCTGGTTACACATTACATTTAGTTACTGTAGTAATCACTATAAACTGTGCACAATTGCACGCAACTAACCCCAAACCAAACCCTATTCCTAACCCTATAGTAAGTACATGTAGTTAATTAATATTACTCAGTACTCTGTATCACATGTAACATACCATCTTAAATTTCAATCATAAATAAAACACATATACACACTACTTTCACTCAACATTGTCCAGAATGTCTCTGCCGTTAAGTGTAACATACCATCTTAAATTTCAAAAGATAGAATGAAACCCCTATAAAGAGGTAGGGTACCATCCGTTAAGCTTTTGCAGTGGTTATATTTAAGTGCCAAACAAGTAACAACAAATGTATTCACCCTCCACAACAGCACACACCATATATACAAATTAGTTCATTCAAATCAGTCAATGGTTTGCGTGATAGAAAAACCTGAGTTTCCAACGCTGTTTGACATAAACCTCCATTGTTGTAAAGTTCCAAAGGTTTGAACAGTTCCAAAGATGACAAACTCAGTCGATATAATCCATTGGTAGTTCCCACACGCATTACGCAGTCAAACTTAGCATAAAACAGTCCTCAAAAGAGAAGCTTGTCTCAAGACTTATTTAGCATGTGCTCAATTAGAACATAAGGCTTAAATGAATGGCAAAGAAAAACTATTTGCCATCAAAAAGCCAAACCAAGGACAATGAGCTACAACTCACATCAATGTTTTAGTTACCTCTGCCTTAACTTCACTTACTCTGCTATCGGCATCCTCAGTTGAGGACGCCGCCCCCTAGTGTAGCGGAAAAGCACTAGTAACAGTGAATTCAATCTGGAACTTTTACTCTCCCACCGCTTTAGGAGAAGGCTGGACAGCCCCAAAAAAGGGTTTCAATTTGTTCAACATGATATGTCAATGTTACAAGGTTCATCGAGCAATTTTACCTTATAGTTCACTCTGTTAGTCTGTGCCACTATTTCAGCGGGACCTTGCCATTTGGCCACCAACTTTGCCATAAAAGCGTTACCTGCACAAGACAATGGGTGAGTATCCAAACTAAATCTTCTACTTGATACTGTACTGATCTCCTACACAATCTCAGCCGGAGTATGGCCCGTAGTCTTCTGCCGGGCGGAATTGATGGCATATTGAAAAACAGCAATCCATCGGTCACATTGTTTGTGACTGTCATGGACATAAGGAAGCAATCATCATTTTAAGGACTAGTGAAGATGTATTTGATAAAGATGTTGGCTTTTAAAGGGGTCTTTGCAGATCTCATTGGAAACAGCTCTACCCTCTTGCTAAAATAGTCAACTACCACCAATAGGTACTCATTCAAACAGGGTGCTTTTGGGGAATGGCCCAATCAAGTCGATCCCCAGCATGTCTCCTGGTTCAACCCAACCACTGGTGTAGACTGTAGTCGACCTGCAAGCTTGGTAATGCGAGGTTTATACTGTTGACATACTTGGCATACATTGGCCTTTTCGATATTTACAATAAACTCAAAGCTCTGCAGTCTGATCACTCCTGGGAAGAAGGTTGGAGGTGATTAAAAAACCAGGTCAGGGCAGACTGATTTGTCACTTCCTCAAAACAACACCCCTCTAGGTACTCACACTATTTTTCCACTGCCCACACGGCTGCCAAGCACTCTTTCTCTGCTGCAGAATAATGCATTTCAGTCCCTTGCAAATGTCTTGAAGCGTATGCAACTACATTCTCACCTTGCTCTTAAGCACAGCTCCCAAGTCCTATATTACAAGCATCTGTCTGCACTCAAAAGTCACAACTGAAGTCAGGAGGTCGCAGTATGGGGGCAGACTGAAGAGCTTCTTTAAGAGTTTCAAAGGCTTGCTGACATTCGACCATCTATTCCCATCTAGCGCCTTTCTTAAGCGCATGAAGAGGTGCATGTCATTGGTCTCTTACTTTGTATAAGCAGCTATGTCTTGTCAATTAAAAAAGAAAGAAAAGAAGAGGTGCTGCTTGCTCTGAGAAATGTGAGATAAAACGATGGTACCATCCTTTTAGTCTTAGAAAGTGTTGGGCTTCTTTCACCAACTTAGGAACAGGGAAGTTTATGGCTTCAACCAGGTTCTGTCCTCACTAGGGATGGGAATTGAAAACCGGTTCCACTCGAGAACCGGTTCTAAGTTTTACGATCCATCGATATTGTATGCCCTCGCCGTTAACGAGTCCTCTTATCGATGCTCCTGCTCTGAGTCAACCATAGTATGTAGGCTACAGACCGTGAACTCACAACTGTCCCTTTTGTCCTTTATCAAGCACCATAGCACGGCGTCCAAAGCGAATTTTTGTACCGCCAAAGTCTTATTTGATCGGTGAGTAATGTAGATGACCTGCTTTGCTTGTGACAGGGCGCATGTTTAACTGAACGAGCAGAGAGAGAGAGAGCCCCGGTCGCGCGCGCTCTGTCTTCGGAGCAAGGCTTCACCGTCTCAAAACTAAGCGCTGTCTTGCTCTCTCTCCCTCGCACATATTAATCCAAATAAACGACACGATGGTAAGGTCGGGAGACTAAAGTTTCATGTGGAGCATTCGGAGATTTGTTTTTCCTGAATTAGGGTACCGCTGGGTGTGAATTGTGCTAAAATACGTTGCCTTATCTTCTCTGAAAAGCATTCTGCACATTCAGCTGACATAAACCACACTTTAAATAAACGAAAAAAACTATCCAGTGATGAAATGTTTTCTGTGATGACACATCTTGTGGGATGTCCCAACCGCCGGCACACGTCCGATAATGACACGTCCAATTAGCGAACTAATGACTCATTTGAACCGATTCGTTTTAATGAATGGTTAAAACAACTGATCTTTCCAACACTGAACTCACGGTACGTTTAATCGGTGTATAACTAATCGGTAACGTGTTACAATAAGGTTCCATTTATTACATAAATTACATAAAAAGTACAGTTTGCTTAGTCAAGTGTAAGCTTTAAAACAAATAAAACCACTTGGTTTTTTCCCCCCGAAAAAGCATGACTACTTTTTTCCACACAGTGCAATCAGGAATCGATAAGAGAATCGTTAAAGAATCGGATCGATAGGCAGAATCGTTAGTGGCATTGATATTGATAAAATCTTATCAATTCCCATCCCTAGTCCTCACTCCACCTTCCAATACAACATGCCCAAACAAAGTCAACGATTTTTGCAGAAGATTACACTTCTTAAAATTCAGCGTCAGACCTTCAGTCTCCAGTTCAGTAAGAAATGACAAAGATGCCCATAATGTTCCTTGACATTGGAGGAATAGATGGCAATATTATCGATATAGACGAAGCAAAACTTGCCAATGAAGTCTCGCAGAATAGAATTCATCATTCGATGAAAAGTCCTTCTTCTGGTACAAGTACTCTCTGAGCAGCCCACGAAGTAGAAGGTCTGATAATTCCTTTCTCCTGCATTTTAGCCATTTCTTCATAAACAAACTTTTGCTTATGAATGGGTACTGGATATGTCCTCTTCCTCACCTGTACTTTGTCTTTTGTATTGATCTGATGAGTAATGATGGAAATACCAATCGAACAACAATTGTTCCAAATTTCTTTTTTGACTTCTTGAAGCCTCAGCTGCTTTCAACAACTCCTTCATCATAGCTTGACTAACATTGGTCTGCTGTCTAGTTGGAAGTGCTACATGCAATATAGTACTTGAGGGTGATGTAACAGCAAGCTTCAAGTCCAACTTCATACCAGAAAGAGTCAGAAATTCAAGTCCCACAATGAGAGGAAAGACCGAATTATGATCTTTGATCATGAATGCTCTTAAAGGATAGGCTTGGCCATGCACTACACACTGCAGAGAAACTTTACCAAGTGCATTTTGAATATGGCCATTTGCCATAGAAAATGTTTGACCCTTACTAGACTGTAAAATCTCCCCTTTATGCTTGATCTGGTTTCACAGAGACTCTTGGATCAAAGAATAAGTACTACCTGTATCAATAATTGCCTCCAAATGTTGGTTACGAATATCTGAAGGCAGCATCAGAGTAGACATGAAAGACTGAGCATACACAGCAATGTTATGGCTGTTCGACCTCCCTCGACTTGATCTTCCTCCTCCACGCAAAGTTTCTTGTTCAGCTTGCCTCTACCTCCAAAAAATTCTCTCCTCATTCAGGTCCCATTCCACCAGTGAGCCCACACGAACTAGCTCCTCTATTGTGGATACAGTCCCTCTCAAGATACTAGCAATGCATGGATTGCAATTCCTCAATATAGCTTGAAGAAACTCAAGTTCCGTCATTGTTGGCATTAATCTTAAACACAAAGCTCTATATTGATAATCAAAAGATTGAATGTTCTCATCCACTCCCTGTTTTCTTTCTCTGATCCTTCTATCTGCCTCCAGCTCATGATCTTCAGGTAGAAATGACTGAAGGAAAACTGTCTTAAATTGTGTCCAGGTCTTAACGCATGCTTTCTCGGCTATCCACGAGTCCTTAGCCGTATGGGTAGGCACAGATGACAACACAGACAATATCTCAGCTTACTCAAAGGTTGGACAGTGAGATACTCTTCGTATTTCTCTAAATATGCAATAGGATCTTCTCCATCCAGACAACTGCATTTAGGAAACTCAAGATTTATAGGAGTTTTATAAGTTGAATGCCTAGCATCTCTTCGCTTGAGACAGTCCATAACTGCACGTCCCAGATCCTGAATGCTCTCCTCTAAGACCTGTTTCACTCTTGACACTCTTAGATTCTAAAATGATCGCTTCCTCTCTTTGTCTCAATAAACTTTCACAGTCTTTGACTTGGACTTCTAAAGAACTGATTTTGTTCTCATAGGTATCTAATTTAGGTATCCAGTTACTGGGTTTCAAACGTATCAAAATGTATGTTGTTTTTCCTTTACCTCACTCATTGTATTTTCCAAATATTTAACTCTATTGGCCAAAACCATAGAGATAAGACTTTCATCCTCCTCTTCAGGAGGCGGGGGAGGTGGTAATTGAGTACTATCTTCAACCTCATTAGCCTCATCGTCCTGCTCAGGTTCTAAATAAAGACTACTAAATGATTAAATCAGATCTTGTATGGGCTCTTGACGCACTGTAAATTCTTCTGCACTATAATTAGGTTCTCTTTGATACTCACTCCCATCCTTGGCAGGATCATCCATTTGGAAATATTATGAGGAAGCATAATTTTCAGGAGAGTAAACACCAAACAACATATACCACTTTGGTGATACATAACACATATACACACTACTTTCACTCAACATTATCCAGAATGTCCCTGTTCGGGCGCCGTTAAGTGTAACATACCATCTTAAATTTCAAAAGATTGAACGAACCCCCTAGCCTGGTTAAAACCAGACCATTCTCAGTTGTAACTGAGTTATGGTCTGGCAAAGCGTCATAGACAAATCATTTCCAGAGGGGCGTCACCAACGGACGTCGCGGATAGACCTAAACCCAATCAGAGCGATGAAGGAGATGACGTATGCAGAGAAACATCTCCGAGTGTTGTTCTTTGCTCGGTTTTTAACAAAACGGAAACATTCAA